CTTTATTTTGAAAATCTAACGATTCTCCAACAATCGTCTCTGTGTTAATGGTCCAAAAAGGTTGGGAACCGCTGGTTTTAAAATACTTTACTTTTTAAGGATTTTCAAAATAAGTTTCCTCTTGTGGCATGTTTTCTTCCGTCACGTGGACCTTCACGATAACCTTTACCACTTTGGTTCATGATCATTTCAGAGTTGAGTAAAAGCACAGTTTGATTCCTGCATAAAAGTGTTTAGTACAGATTGGTTTTATTTCTGTAAATAAAATAAATGACTTCATAAATAAGTGTACAAGAACCTCAGCCTTGATCACTTTTTCTTTTTTGTTTTTCGTGATATGTGGCATGTGGGAAATGTTGTCTGTCATTTCCTTCTCAGAGTATTCAACAACATTGTGCGATGAATAAAAGTGTCTTTGTTTTGTTCTCTAGAATTAGTTCATCTTTAGTCTTCCCGATCTAGTGAGAAACCTGTTTCCAAGTTTCCAAACAACTAGCGTAGGGTGTTTTAACACAGAACAGTAAAGGAAATTCAGAACGCTGAGTCAGGTCCGGATAACAGACAGCAGGACATGTCATGGTGAGGTCAAATCCTGGAGTAAAAATGGAAAGATCCAGATTCCCCTGCATCCCACAACCTCAGTGGCACCAGGATCAGAGTCATGTGAGAGTAAACAGACTGAAACGACTGTAGGTCTGGGAACTGGTTATGATTCAAACAAAAAAAAAAAAAACAATCTTCAGTTGTAACCTGAAAAGAACAGATATCTCATCCAGTTTTGTTGGTATTTCTGTACTTCATGAAGTACTACGAGTCAGTGATATATGCTAAAGGTTAAATACCTTTAGCATATAATAATACTAAACAATGTGTGGCAGTGTGTATGTATGTAACGGTACAACACAAACGTCACTGGTCATACCATGACACTAACGAGTCAGTGATATATGCTAAAGGTTAAATACCTTTAGCATATAATAATACTAAACAATGTGTGGCGACACTACACACTCCGACAATACAACACAAATTGGTTAAAAAGCTCAAAAAGTCACTGGTCATACCATGACACTACACACTCCAGTCCAGTAGGTGACAGTATGCTTCTAAAAACCCACTATTAAACCCAGACATCAGGTCTCTACATAGGCTAAGAGACGTTCAGGTGTTGGAACAGAACGTGGGAAGAACTTGAACCAGTGTTCCTGTAAAGAAAGGAACTCTTTCCACTTCCTGTTTTTTCTTGCTTTGTCTTTTTTTCGCCACTTGCCGCCTGCATCCAGGCCCTTACTTTTGACATGGGCGATCAGTGGTATTTTATATCTGTTGCATGTGCAGCGCACACGTCTGACACCAGTGAAGTAACTGTAGCACATCTTCGCTTTATTAGAACGCGTTTATAAACAATCGAAGAATGTTGCGTAAGTCCTGGTCTGGTCGGAAACGGTAACTGTGGAAAAAACGTGTTCTTTCGTGTCCTTAACAATTTGAACGTGTCTTTGTCATCAGATGGGACCAGGAAATGATTTACTGTATTTCTCAACCATTATTCAAGAATGCGGTCTCCACTGAAATGCAGTTAAAACGAGGTCAAGTCAATTATGGTTAAGGTTAAGGTTGAACTTTATTGATCCGACACTGGGGAAATTATGCGCACGTATCAGAACATGCATTTTGATTGGACGGAGTTGCAGAGGCGCTCGTGTGAAGTAAGCAAAGTCATACGGATGTTCCTCACTAATAGTACGGTATCATCGGCGAAAGGTTAAATTTTGGAGGAAAATATAGCTCATAAATAAATATATATATATATATATATATATTGTATATCTCTCTTATTAAACTTCTATATAAAATGAATTACTTCTGAAACAACAGGGCATTTCCACCGTTCTTCTGAATTCACAGCCTGATACCATAGTCTGTAATGGAGTAGCCTGTTTCAATTTCTTATACATGTTGGTGGTAATTTCATAGTGAATCTTGCCACCACTTTTTGAGGTCAGTGATATTTTACTGCATCAGTTTGAATGCGTCTTTGTCACTACGGTTGGTTCAGGCCAAGACACAGACGATGACGTCTATAAACAAATAATTAAATGACAATGAAAACAAACCACCAGGAACAAACAACGTATTCAGTTCAGTGTTTAACACTTTGTTTCTTAATCGATGTAATTAAAAAGCTCTTTGTTTTGTTTTTTTAATAGTAGCCGTTAAATTACGTTACCAAAGTTTACCGTTCCTTGCAGCCTATTTAAGGTTTAAATATAACACGATGAGACCATGACACCGTGGTCTGTTCTCATGGAGATCAAGTCTCTCCTCCGTCTGTTTTGGTGCAGCAGAAGCAACTACAACATATTTGTCTGTGGCAGCAGACACAAAGAAATCCTGGAGGGCAATGAGGGCCGTTGTTGGGGGGGGGGGGGGGGGGGGGGGGGGGGGAGGTGGGGTGTTGTAGTCGTTTTGGGGGAGGGAGAGGAGATTATTCCCCCGAGATATCCATTACCCAAAAGCCTGGTTCAACGTGAGGATCATGGTTCCTCAGAGAAGCCCGAGGAAACGGGGTCACATACCTCATCATGACAGTGAAGTAATCTGAATATAGGCAGCTCAGGGCAAACACACACACACACACACACACAAACATCTGCTCTGTGTGTGCAGGCAAATTTAAATGCTAAGTAGGACTCAGGTAAGTGTAATGGAACGCAAATTCCAATCTGGTATAAAAAACGCTGTTAAAATTACAGGTTATATTGAGACAAAATATATATGGCTCCTCATATTGAATTTACCTCAGAGCTAAACGTCTTCAATACCGTATTTTTATAGTATGCATATACATACACGAATATATTTTATATATTTTATGTACATATATGTACACATATGTGCATATATGTACATATAGACATATACAGTATATGTGTACATATATGTACATATTGACATATATACATATAGACATATATATGTGTACATATATGTACATATAGACATATATACATATAGACATATACAGTATATGTGTACATATATGTACATATTGACATATATACATATAGACATATATATGTGTACATATATGTACATATAGACATATATACATATAGACATATACACTCACCGGCCACTTTATTAGGTACACCTGTCCAACTGCTCGTTAACACTTAATTTCTGATCAGCCAATCACATGGTGGCAACTCAGTGCATTTAGGCATGTAGACATGGTCAAGACAATCTCCTGCAGTTCAAACCGAGCATCAGTATGGGGAAGAAAGGTGATTTGAGTGACTTTGAACGTGGCATGGTTGTTGGTGCCAGAAGGGCTGGTCTGAGTATTTCAGAAACTGCTGATCTACTGGGATTTTCACGCACAACCATCTCTAGGGTTTACAGAGAATGGTCCGAAAAAGAAAAAATATCCAGTGAGCGGCAGTTCTGTGGGCGGAAATGCCTTGTTGATGCCAGAGGTCAGAGGAGAATGGCCAGACTGGTTCGAGCTGATAGAAAGGCAACAGTGACTCAAATAACCACCCGTTACAACCAAGGTAGGCAGAAGAGCATCTCTGAACGCACAGTACGTCCAACTTTGAGGCAGATGGGCTACAGCAGCAGAAGACCACACCGGGTGCCACTCCTTTCAGCTAAGAACAGGAAACTGAGGCTACAATTTGCACTATATTTTTTATTATAATTTTCGTCATCAATAGTATTCTCTTTTTTTTCCCTTAATATTTTTCCAAATTTCTCGTATTTTTTCCTCATACATGAAGGTCCAAACCAGAGAATCACAGAAATTTTGCATTTTACTTCTCAGCTCCTGCCCACCCACACACTCAACATCCATTCACAGGATTAGCTGGATATAAGATGAAACGTTGGGATGTTTGAACAAAAATAAAATGACAGACACAGACATTTTTGAAGCAGTCTGTGACTACGACGCTCACCCTTCAGGGATCTGTCATCTAGTCCTGAGTTACGTAACACATGGGACCACACCACACACACAGTCAGCTTATCTGCCTGGTGCATGGCTAAAAGCACATGTTGTAGAAGGTGGGGGCTAAGAGAGGACACACAGGGGGTTAAGCTGCTTTCAATATTATGTTTTTTCTGCAAATGATGACTCAATCAACGTGGAGCAGACATGGACCCAGGGCCTTATCTACCGATGATTAAACGTTGGCTGGTGGTGGTGACGATGGTGGTAATGGGGGAGGGGGGGGTCTTTCAGTAGAAACAGACAGAAAAAAAACTTTATTTTTAAAATCCTTTTATGTTCTGACCTTTCTTTTTTTTTTTACCAAACACAGCTCTGCTTGTGCTTTTTTCTTTAAAAAATACACAAACCCTGAGTGGACAACAATGAGGATCTGAACTAAGGTCAACAATTTCTACCAAACACTGCATGGCCATCAGTATTCTTTCAACTGCACTATTGTAGAAAACATGAATTGGTTGAAAGAACATTAATATTTTCCAATTTCTTTCAAAAAATAAAATAAAATAAAAATAAACTAACCAGCAGGTGTGACTCAAATAATCCAAATGATCAGAAAATCTAGGACAGTACAGACCAAACATGGAGGGGACAAACAGACTGACAGACTGCTGTTTTTTTTTTTGTTGTTGCTGTTTTGATTTGCTGCTTTCCTCTACAGCCCTGCCCTGTGCAAATGTAACAAGAGAGCTGACTGTTTGTATTGGAAACTGGAGCTGCCTCTGTAGTCAGATGGGAAAACAAGGAAAGGGACTTTAACCTGCACGATCACAATCGTCACAGGGTTAAACTGTACAGAAGGAGGTGCTATAGAGCCCAGTATGCTGCTCATTTCCAGGCATTTTTTTAAGGCAAAAGCAGGGAGTAAACTATGGTACGTTGTACGTCACCATGGAGACGGCGATTCCAGCCCAGAGGTCAGCCATAAACAGGTCAACCCAGTATAGCAGTGAAAATCATAGAGCAGGAAAAAGAACCAATGACTTACTTCAAAAATAAAGAGGATGGAGTCCAGCTCCTCCCTTTGAGATTTGTTCCCTGGAAAAGATAAAAACAAAGGTTTTTCTTAGACAAACACTGTAACACCCTCGAGCTACACTTGGTTAGCTCTGACAGTTAACATAGAATTGGACACTTAGAGCACTGTTTCCCAAAGACTGATGTCGCGACCCTCAGGTGGGTCGCAAGAGATTTTTTTTTTTTTTTTTTGGG